GAGAGGAAGAGGGGGAGGAGAAGAGGAAGGGGAGGGAGGGAGAAGAGGGAGGGGGAGAGGGAGGAGGAGGAAGGAGAGGAGGAGGAGGAGGAAGAAAAGGAGGGTGGAGAGTAGGGGAGGGAGAGAGAGGGAGGGATAGATAGAGGAGGAGGGAGGGAGGGTGGAGAGTAGGGAAGGAGAGAGAGACGAGGAAGGGAGGGAGGGAGAGGGAGTGAAAGAGGCATGGAGGGAGGCAATAGTGAAAGGAGAGAAAGGAGGAGAACAGAGAGAGGTGGTGAAGGGAGGAAAGGAAGGAAAGAGAGGAGTGAGGAAGTGGAGTAGGTGGAGAGGAGGAGGAGACGTAGAGGGGAGAAAAGAGGGTAGAAGAGGAGAGAGGAGAGAGGAAAGGAGAGAGCAGAGAAGGAGAGAGAGAGAGGAAAGAGAGGGAGAGAGCAGAATGAGAGAGGAGAGAGGAGAGAAGAGAGAGAAGCAACTTGTTAGAGGAGGGAGAAGTAAATAGGAAGAGGCAGAGAGAAATACGAACGGAGAGGAAGGATGAGGAAGAGGAAACGATGATTGAATAGGAAAGTGAGAGGAGGAGAAGAGAAAAGAGAAAAGGGGTATCGCGAGGAGAGGGGAGAGGAAAGAATAAGAAAGGGAATGGAGGAGAAGGAGAAGGAGAAGGGAAGGGGGAGGGAATGAAGGGGGAGGATGGGAGGGAGAAGACGACAGGAATAAGCAAAGGAGTGGAGAAGAAGGAGAAGAAAAGGAGGAAAGAAGACTGGGGAAGGAGGATGGAGAAGGAGAAAGGAGGAAGGAAAAGGAGAAAGAAGAAAGGAGAAAGGAGGAAGGAGAAGGAGAAAGCAGAAAGGGAAGGAGAAGAAGAAAGAGAAAGGAGAAAGGGGAAGGAAAAGGAGAAGGAGAAAGGAGAAAGGGAAGGAGAAGAAGACGGGGAAGGATGAAGGAGAAGGAGAAAGGAGAAAGAAGAAAAGAAAGAAGAGAAGGGAGGGAAAGAGAGAACGGAGAAGGAGAAAGGAGAAGAAGGAGAAAAGGAAGAGGGGAGGAGACGATGAGGGTGTGGGGGGGGGCCGACGCCACAACCCCCCATCAAATATTCACAAGGCGGCCGAAGCGCACCACAATACTGCATGGCTGGGGATCCCGTTGCGATAGAGTGCTTTTAATGTTGCAAAAGGTTTGAATGTTTTGACTGGATGTGCGCGGGGGGGGGGGGGTGAGCTATTAAGACGCTGTCTCTTGTATGTGTTTGTGTCTGTCTGTAAGTATGCGGAAATGTATGTTGTGTGTTTATAAATAACTGCATTTATGTCTAAATAGATAAGTGAATAAATAAAATATATATACAATATATATACATATATACACATAAGTATGTATATGTATTTACATATAGATTGATAAACATACATATACATACATGAATATATATACATATATATATATATATATATATATATATATATACAGTATATATATGTATATATATATATATATATATATATATATATATATATATTATATATATATATATATATATATTCGTTTCTTTCTTTTTTCTCTCTATCCACTAAATACCGCCCATAATTCGCATTTCTCTAATAACATTTCTTCCATCTTTATCAATTAGGCACATACCCCCCCTGCCCCCCTCCCTGCGCTCCCCCAATCAATAATAAAAAAAAGTCTCACCCAAGTATTCCGTTGTCCTGAGGCCAAGTTTCAGTAAGTGTGTAATTCAAGTCTGAAATGAGAGTGATCAGCTGTGCATGGCCCCCACCCCCCGCCCCTCCCCCCGGGTCGTAATTACTGCGTGCGGTTTCATCTTCGGGCCTGGATTTAGGGTTCATAATGTATCACAAACAAGTTTGGAAGACAAATAACACACACACACACACACACACGCACACGCACACACACACACACACACCACACACACACCACCACACACACACACACACACACACACACACACAACACACACACCACACACCACACACGCACACACATACACCACACACACACACACACACACACACACACACACACACACACACACACGCACACACACACACACGCACGGCACACTCAAATACACACAGACACACACACGTAAATAATTAGTCTCAGAGAAGGGTAAGTGTTCCTTCTTTTCAAAAACTTTTAAAATGGTGGCAAATATACTAACAACAATAATAATAATAACAACAATAATAATAACAATAACAACAACAATAATAATGATGATGATAATAATAATAATAATAATAAATGAATAAAATAAATGAAATAATAAAGAAAAACTCTTTCTTAGCCAAGGACCGCGGTCAGGATTCGAACACTCCTGTTCGAATCCGGTTCAGAGTTAAACATTTAGAATCTTTTTTTTCCATTTCAGTTTATTGATGTCGTTTTGCTATCCCTTTAGCTTATGGTAATTCTGTTTTACTCTATTCCTCCATTCATAAATTTTCGTTTTGCTATCCTTTTAGCTTATGATATT